CTATAAAAAAACTTTTTTGCACTCACATTTCGAATTGTTTGTTCTCCTTTTTGCAGCGAATAAGTCCATATAGATTTTTATTGTATGAAATGGGTATTTAAGTTGTCAGAAGTTTCAAATACATATTTACTAATTCATAATTGTATTTATTAAGCCAATGTTAAGTTTCATTGCTCATTGTGAAAATCTGATTATAAACATTGTAGTTCAATTCAGTTTGGAAAGATTTGGATTAAGCTGGTACTGAGTGAAGTAGTTAAATGCGTCGACAAATTCACTTATCTTGGAAGTGTGGTCAGCCCTAATGAGTTGGTGTCTGACGAAATCTGTGTACGGGTTCAACGAGCTCGTTCGGCTTTTGCGGACTTACGTCACTTACGGCGAAGGAGAGATATCCGCCTATCAATAAAAGGACGAGTATACTGCGCGGCAGTTCGTTCTGTTCTACTTTACGGCTGCGAGCCGTAGATATTAAGAGTAGAAGATATGCAAAAGCTACTAGTGTTTGACCACAGATGCCTCAGAAATATTGCTGGCATCTTCTGGGGCCACCGGGTAAGTAATAGTGAGGTTAGACGCAAGGTATTAGGGAATGATAGTAAATCAGTTGATGAGGTTATGAATCTTCATCGACTGAGGTGGTTGGGCCACATGTTACGTATGTCTGAACACCGATTTCCACGACATGCAATGCTAACCTGTATTGGAGATGGTTGGAAGTTAGGGGCGGCCAATCCAAAACGTGGCATCAGTGCTTGAAGTCACTAACTTCTAGTCTGAGCTATGTTGGTAGATGCAGACTACTTGGTTGAGGTCCGTGTGACTATCGTAACCAATGGTTGGAGACTCTTGATGACATGGCTCAGAATTGATCACAATGGCGTTGGTGTATACACTCTTTGTCTTCCCTTAAACTATGAGATTAAAATCGTTTCATATCTTTTTTTCTATGTACTAAATCTTTCTTCCTATACTATATCCTTATATGCAATCTTTCTTTTATATATTACCACATCTGAATTAACTACTGTTATGAATCCGGTGTCCATGTTGTTGTGTTAATGAGGTATGGCAACTTGGACCGATGCACATATGTGCCTGGTCCTACGTTGTAGCTGACTGTCTGCTGATGATATTTAGACAAGAAATTCGATCAATTTTACCTGACATATTCTCATCCTGTGAGGTTTGCATCAATATAACCATTTATAATACAAGTTAACATAGCACAGATCAAATGTGGCTAACAGTAGAATGCATGATGAGTGTTTACACCATGATTGATCGAATTCCAATCGAAATATCAACAACGAGATAATCCAATCCTTGTCAAACTGAGTTAAAACTCATACCCGTTGCACAAGTGAATAGCTATTTAGACTCAGTATCTAGAATGTGAAACGTGATGGTGTTTGAAGCAAACTGTACTAGGCTTGAGTTCGAGAGTAAAAATCAAGTCTGATATGCAAAGCCCCCAAATATCCTGGTACGACTTAGAGTTGGGAGAATCAACTCTGTCTTTCGAAATGCTCTCACATGGCCACATGCATACAACTACTACCAGGGAAGTCCCACACACTGCCGTTTCACGGCGGGGGTGTTACTTACGAAATTCAGACGACGAAAAGCGAATATCCGGTGCTTTGATCGGGTTGGAGTTGGAAAACCTTGATTCCAAACCAATGGTGCACATGTGCTCCGGGACCCCGAGGAAACGTATGAAGCGTATGAACCAATTGTTGGTCACCAGCTAACATGAGACTGCATCTCCTTACGTTGCTCCACTGTTTTATGAATCAGACCATTAGGTCGAAGGCTCCAGATGCTGCCCCTTAGGAAACCGCCTGCTCTGATTTGGTCACTCGAGCAGTATCACAGTCCACATACAAACTAAGTGACTTGTGTCTTTCTTATGTATTCGATGCTCCTTTGTATCAATCAATAAATAAAAATGAATGCAAATTTAGTCAATTGAAGAGTCTTCAATAGAACAAACAAAACACGAATACTGGATTCCAATGCTAACTATATTCCATCTATTCTAAATTTGATCTAATGCTTGACTCAGTTCTTTTCAATATGATAACCCCTACATCATTATTACTATTATAATTTTTGTAGTATTGAATGTATGTATTCATCATTACATAATTCAATAGACTAAATAAATGAAAATAAATTCATTTTTTTACTTTTTATTCATCAACATAAACAAAAACAGCAGAAATAAACTTTGATAAATCGAATTGAAAAAAGGTACTGTGATTCACAAATATAATGAATGATATTAGAATGCCTATTGTTAAATGACACGATGATGATGATGATGATTAATTAGATTCTGTTTGTCTTGGTATTTCATATAAAAAGATGGAAAGTGTTGACACTTTTGGATAGTTTTCTAGCCGGGCCGTTTCGTCCCGTTGTGGGACTCCTCAGCAGTGCACATCCACGATCGTGGCTGCGAGATTTGAACCCAGGATCTCCAGTCTCGTGCGCGAACGCTTGACTTACTGGATCACTGAGACGGCATCCAATAGTGTTAATGTCTAACCTGTTTGTCTTGATATTTCGTATAAAAAGATGGGAAGTGGTAATACTCTTTTTAATAATTTTTTTAGCGCTTAATCTTAAATTTATTAAAACTAATTTGAAAAACGGTGATTTTTTTACTCGAAAGAAAAAGTGATTATGATTTTTATTGACGGTGGAATCCACGACACGCGTTTCATCCTATTTGGGACTCGTCATCTGGATGTACCTTCATTCTAAAGTTGATGTTCACTCCTGGACTCGAACCCCGTACCGTTTCGTTTATCATCTTAGTAAATGAAAACAATCCTCACAGGATATACATATGCTAATAAGTGGCTGACCGATTGCAGTTCTAATCATTAATAGGAAGATTCAAACAAACAATAGAAAATGAACTTATATTGTAATTCTGCTAAAAGTATCATTCGAGCTCTGTCTGAAACGTATCGATAGAAATTATGCATAATAACTCATATTTCAAAACGTGTGATCGTGAAACATTTATTGACTATCGTCATCAGTTGTAAATGGTGCGTTGTTGTAGTCTGATTAGTTGAAATCCACCTAGTATAAACTGTTTTGGTGGAGTTTTGTTCTCTACACTTGGTGGTTTGGTTGCGTGGCTTTCATTGTTCTTCTGAACAACATCATCAGCATAAACGTCAGGTAGAAGTGACGTTTTCTCATGTCTCTACATATGACTCATAGCATGTCTTGTCAATCTCTATCTTGATTAGTTATTTTTGACTTGTAACTTGTTATTGTTTGCCTTTTTGTTTTGATTATACTTCTTTTTGATATGATTTTTGGTCTTATATTTGTCCATGATTTTTCTTATTAGTTGATAGATTGTGTTTGTTAATTGACCGAAGTGTCAAGCTTCTAAAAATTCTCTGGTGTTCTTAATATTCCCTCTGTCCAGAATTTCAACATTTTTCTAGTCGAATGTGTGTTCACAGTTGTCCACGTGCATTAATGTAATCGGGGATACGTCATAGCATTTAATCGCTATTTGATGGTCATGCAGAAGAAGATAAAGAGAGTGTCCGCTTTAGCCCATGTAGTGTTTTTCGTAATTCGAACCGTTTACTTTGTAGAATATGTCTGTTTTTTCTATTGTTCTTGTGTTTGCTTTGGATTGTATGCTACATCTCGTAATTTCTGATACTTCCTTTATATATGGTAGGATGATCCGTTTGCTAGTTTTATACTTGATTTCGTTTCTGCTCTTTATTTAGGTTGATATTTGTTGAAGTTAAATAGGTAATCGTTCTTTTGAAGGATAGGCATTAGATATTTTTCTCCATTATTCCACGTTGTAAGTGTGCTGCAATCTGTTATCACCTTCTTAAACAAAGTTTGTACGCAGTTGATTTTGTGAGTTGTTGAGTTGCTGCTGCCTATAGTTGAGAATTTGATCTGTGTAGGTGGCTGCCGATATTCATGAGTTTCTAGTTTACCTGTATCATCAGTCTGATAATCGATACATCCATTTGATTGTTTCCATTGTGAATTTTATGTTATCGAAGACGTTGTTAATTAGATTGTATATGTTTTCCAGCTCTTTTCTTATTTTGTGTAGTTAAAGGAGTGAAATTGTAGATTTTCATCTCGTAATTGATTAATTTATACGAATTCCGACACCAAATTATGATTTTATAGGAGTGATTTAAAAGTGTTACATCATTGACTGATCTTAGATAGACAACCATTTAAATGGACTAAAATCCATTTAACATGTTAACGCGAATGGAAATCTGATTTCTTTGGTCATTTACTAATCTATTCAATTATAGTTTACTTATCAAGTTTACTTTTTATTTGACCCACCACCTCGTACATGCAATTGTATAGGTTCTTATAATGATCTGGATTATGTATCATGATTCCCAATACACTTTATAGTTCTTCCCAGTTGGCGGGATTTTTCCCATTATGAAGGAATAAAGACAAGGATAATGTAAAACTTATAATTATTCTCGGTCATTATATAAATTTCTTGTGATTGAGTTGTCTTTAATATACTTCTAGCATTTTAATTTTCAAATACCGAATGCAAATTGAATTCGGAAGTGTTTGAATGTGTGAGCTGTTACTATGCGTTTAATGACGTCCTACTAGCGGTTTGTGTCAATCCAATATTTTGTTGCACAATCACAAGCGCAAATTTTCTGTCTTTCATCTCTGTACTATTGTAACGATAGTATGTGATGTCAAGTCGCAACTTGACTGCTACCCCTTTGCATCAAGTATTAAACCTTCAATTCAAGATAAAAATTCTCCAGCGATACATTAAATGGTAGAAACGATTTTTGATTGCAATTCAGGAATAATTGGTTACCCTTAATATTTTTACCATTTTAAGTTTACTACTTTAATAATTTGCCAGTAGTTGCTCTATTTTTCATCAAATAACCAAAACGTAATTGAATGAATGTCTTGCTCATATCTTTTTTATGCACTAGATTTGTTTACATTTGGAACCATATAAAAATCGTAATGTCAGTACAATTGTTTCAGATTTAAAGTATATTTATGAAAAAGGATACACTTCTCATCCAGCTTATTATCATGTTTCTGTTAATCAATATGACGATGGTAAATTATTACCTGTAGTGTATGTGTATGATTCTTATATAATAAAACCATCAGAATGGAAGAAAGTAAGTTGTTTAATGCATATATGTATGTACATATATATAATTTATTCTTTGTATAAAACCTTTCTTCAACGTGATTTACAGTACATATGTAGTTATCTAGTCATAACTTGAATTTCCAGAAGCAGTAAAATGAGATCAGTACTAATGTATTTTACCATGATCAAAGAAACATAACGATTGGTTTTTTATTCAGGGAGTTTTGACTTTGTCGAAAACATATTCATTTGGGGAATCAACCTCTTAGATAAATGAATCATAATAATACGTTGTGGCATGTCACACTAATCGATCCAAGTCAACGTCAATCGTTTAAGCATAATGTTTCAAGAGTAGGTTATGAGTTCGAGATAAATCACATAAGAAGATACTCAACGATAGGCGAAATAAGAATACGTATGGTTTTAAGGATTGATGGTTATAAGGATGAGGTTGTGAATCTTCATCGACTGAGATGGTTGGTCCACAAACTACACATGTTCAACCACCGATTATTACGACGTGAAATACTAGTTGGTGTTGGGGATGGTTGGAAGAAAGTTAGGGGTGGCCAATCCAAAACGTGGCATCAGTGCTTGAAGTCACTAACTTCTAGTCTGAGCCATATTGGTAGATGCAGACTACTCGGTTGGTGTCCTCGTGACTATCGTAACTAGTGGTTGGAGATGCTGGGTGACATGGCTTAGAATCGACCACAATAGCGTATTTGTATACACTCTTTGTCTTTCTTTAAACTATGAGATTAAAATCGCTTCGTGTCTTTCTTTCTACCAACTAATTCCTTCTTCTTGTACTATATCTCTATACACAATCTTTCTTTTATATATTACCACCTCTGAATTAACTACTTCTATGAATTTGGTGTTCATGTTGTTGTGCTAATGATATGTGGCAACTTGGACCGATGCACGTATGTGCCTAATCCTACGTTTTAGCTGACTGACTTATAAAAATTGAATTAAAATATGGAAATGAGGATAAATAGATCATTATAACAAATGGATATCACTTAGTGAAATAGAGAAAACATGCCGAATTTATTATAGTTTATAAATAGGACGAGCTACTGCAAAAAAACACAAGGGTGAATGGACTTGAACAATAAACAGAATCAAATAATAACTAACAGATATTCATATTTCCAGATGTTTCTGAGAAGCTTCTATTCAGTGCTGATGTTTTCCAGAGTTTTCTGGACACCTATGGACTCTTTTGAGCAATATTTTCAATTTCCCCAACACTTTCCTTTCAAAATGATAAGACTTCTTCTTTGGATCTAATTTCAGCTTGATAAATGGCTTGTGGTGGCATCCCAACTTATATAGTGTCTTCTTTATCCAATCCTTCATTCTTTTTCTCGTTATGGTGGCTTTGACCTTTACCATCATTAAAGTTTCTTTAATTATTTCCAGTGGTAGATTCACTTGTCTATCTTCCATATTCTTTACTCTTTTTATGTTTATGGATTTGGTCTATATGTTTGACCCACGTTCTGAATACTTCATGTACTTTTGTACAAAACGTTTCCTATTCTGTTCCTAATAATTCTGAGTTCCTATCGAATTTTCCAAGGTATCATTTGACAAACACTCTGTCTTCCACATTAAAACTTACCACTTACTGATTTCGTCTGTGCCCATCCCCTGTTTTAAATGGCAACACAGCATTAACTATTGTCCAAATACTTATTCCAAACATGACATCGGCAGAGGACTTTCTATCTGATACAGTAGTATTGAGAGTAGTTCTGAAAGCTGTTGGTGTTCTTGGTGTTGTATTTAAGGATCTTCGCTTTTCCATTATGTATATTGAGGCCTACTAATGCAGAGGCTGTTGCTACACTAGTTGTTTTCATCTTTATTTGTTCGTGTGTATGAAGTTAAAATCCTCTTTTAGTGGCCCGTGGATCTGACTCCAAGGAGATTGTAATGAATGTTTGTTATCGCCTATCCTCGTATATAATCATCGACTTAAATCGCGTTAGTCAATAACGGCGGAATTAAATAAGTCAAATAACGAGAATGGACTTGTGAATACATATATTTTGTATATGAAGCGAATGGAATAAAGAGAAGAGAAACGATGCAGAGTGGAGATGGCGAGTAAGCCAACACCCATTTAACCAAGCGTTAATCCATAGTCATAGTTACACAGATGTTAGTTACAGAAATGTGATGAGTAATGTGCACACAACTACACGCTCATATAAAAACAGTCAAGATTGATAAGCGAATAATTAACAAGGTCAGAATGTGACTCAAGTGGAATGATTAGAATGGGCTGTCCGAAAGTTAGAATAAGATATATGCGCTTAACATAAGAGCCGACACTACAGAATCAACTAGGACTCACCAAAGTAGCTAAACTAACATGCTTCAAAATCTCGGATATTACACAAATTTAATTTACTCAAGTCAAGGGCGCGAATCAATCATTTTTAGAAGTTATTCGCGTGATAATTTAATTTCGGTATTATGTTTATTTTTAGACAACCCTTATATTTAATATTCAGTAATTGAAATGTGCCTAGTCATGGAATCTAGAATTCGCATTCCGCCCAACTTGAAACTCTTCATTTGACTAAATTTGCATCTGTGTTGATTTTTACTGTGGGACTCAAACCCAGTACAGTTTGCTTCAAACACCATCTCGTTTCCATTCTAGCTACTGAGTCTAAATAGCTATTCACTTGTTCAAAAGGTATGAATTTTAACTCAATTTAACATTGTTGTGACTGTAAGATCGGCTAGTTATCACGTGATTTATTCGTCAATTGAATACGACCTACACAATCTTAGTATTGTACTAAACCAATTACGTTCGACCGGTATGACCAGCCTAGCATCCTTATTGGTCCTTTGTTCGCCTAGCCCGTCAAGTTGAGTCCAGAACGCCAACAACAGCTTCCAGTATACGAATCATTTATTTCGAACATACTTGATTTATATACCAACTAAACAGACCTCATCACATCGTAAAACAGGAAAAAACTTTTATACAAGATCTAAGCGAGAATGTAGCTGTGATCGTGGGAGACAGAAATCAATAAACTGAACATAACTTCAGAATAATAAATCGTATCATAATAATCTATAGATCGAAATGAAGCTTATAATAAGATGAATATAGATACAAACAATCGAGTGACTGAGCAGTTATACAATAGGTATATATATATTTATTTATTCTAACACATAGATATTGGTACAAGGAGGCACCAAATACATATGCGCCACACAAATCTCATTCGATATGTGTGAGGGCTGTGATACTGCCCGGGTGCCCAAACCGAAACAGGCGGTTTTCTTAGGGCCCCCCCTGAGCCTTCGACCTGAAGGTCTGACCCACAAAGCAGTGGGGCATCGTAAGGAAATGCAGTCCCATGGTAGCCGGTGACCAACGATTGGTTCATACGCCATTTGTTCCCGCAGGATACTGGAGCCCATGTGCCCCATTGGTTTGGAATCCGGTTAAAGCGCCAGACATTCGCTTTTCGTCCTTCCATTTTCGTGAACAACACCCTCGCCACGAAAAGGCAGTGAGTAGGACTTCACTGGCAGAGGCTTTATACGCGTGGCCGTGTGAGAGCATTCGGAGAGGGAGAGCGGACTCTCCCCACTCTCGGTCGTACCAGGGCATTTGGGGGCTAGGTATATATTCATAAGCCCATTAATAGTTGACAGAAGTTACTCATAACTTAATCTTCGCTAGGATATAACAGACATGGAATGGATTATCTCGTCGTTGATATTTTGATTGGAATGCCGTCAATCATGGTCGAAACATTCACCGGGTTTTTTTTTATCTTCAAGCTTAACCATTAATACAAAATAATATTTATTTCTTTGATTATTGATAATGATGATTAAGAATGTAATCTAACATTTCCTATTTATTGACAATTTTGTTACCTACGAAACTGAAAGTCCTTCAATTGTCTCTGAAATATATAATAATATATTTTATAGCATAAAGACTAGAGATTAAGTGTTTGAGCACGAGACCAAAGATCATGGGTTCGAATCCCACGAACGGGATTGTAAATGCGCACTCTGCTGAAAAGTCTTATAGTAGGACGAAATGACTATCGAGTGCTTTCAGATGTTTCCATGATGGTCTAGCTTCAATTAAACCATTATTTTACTATATCTAATAATAATAATCACCATTCCATTGATTCAGTTTAACATTATTCAAATGATGTACTGTTTATTGTTGTGTATTAAGATTCTTCAACCAAATGATGAAGAAACAACTATACGAAATAAAATGTATAATGTACATATGATTGGTTTATTACTTGAAACTAATGATTGTAGAATATTGTATGAATCAGGATTTAATGGTGGTTATACATATTTTGTTGGTCATGGAATATCAAAAGCCAGGTAATCTATATATATGTACATGTAACCTAATTATATTTTCATTCATTGTGTATGCTTTATTCCTTTTCTTTTGTTGTTATTGTTGTAAATAATGAATTATGTAGCTCTTATAACTCGTGCCCTGTGTCCTATTAATATATATGACGCAATGATACCGCCGATTAGAGAACAGTGAATTATCGACCGGACCAATAACGCATAAAACCCGTATGAGCAGTCTAGAGTCCTTATCGATCCTGCTTCCTGCCTAGCCCAACTTGTTCAATGCAGAATGCCAATCTCAACCTCTGTAATATGAATCATGCATTTCAAGTATACTGGGTGTATAGTACCACCCAAACACATCACATCGTACCATAAATTAGAAAATAACATTTGTACAAGATTTAGCCAAAAAGTGGCTGTGAATGTGGGAGGTAGTCATTAATAGACAGACCATAACTCAAGAATGGTAGATCGTATAGTAATAGTTCATAGATCAAAATAAAGCTTATGATAAGAGGGATACGAATATAAATAGTTTAGTTACTTAACTATTACACAATAAAAAGTAATACGTATAGTAATAGTCTACAAACAGATTCCAACAGTTACCATTCATTATTCTCATCAGGATATAACAGTAACAATCAAAATGTTTATTTGTCATTTATCTTTAGTTTTTAGTGGCCCGAGATCTGACTCCAATTAGATTGTATGAATGATTGTTATCGTCTATCCTCGTATATAATCATCGACTTAAATCGTGTTAGTCAATAACGGCGGAATTAAATAAGTCAAATAACGAGAATGGATTTGTGAATACATATATTTTGTATATGAAGCGAATGGAATAGAGAGAAGAGAAACGATGCAGAGTGGAGATGGCTGGTAAGCCAACTCCCATTTAACCAAGCGTTAATCCATAGTCATAGTTACACAAATGTTAGTTACAGAAATGTGGTGAGTAATGTACACACACCTACGGGCTCATATAAAAACAGTCAAGATTGATAAGCGAATAATTAACAAGGTCAGAATGTGACTCAAGTGGAATGATTAGAATGGGCTATCCGAAAGTTAGAATAAAGTGTATGGGCTTAACATAATGACTGACACTACAAGTTAACAAGTTTTTATATTTGAACATAACTATTGTTTTCAATATTGATTTTGCTTAAAAGAACAAAACAGTAACACACTTTACCTTGACTGTATATAAGAGAGTAATTTTTTGTTACTGGGGCCTTTATTTTAATCATTTGAAGAAATCTATCTATTTTGTTTTTTCTCTATGAACACGCTACCGGTTCGATAAACAAAAGTAACTAAATTGGAAATTATTGGTTGAAGTAGGAAGCCCCAATGAAAATTCTTCTCTTCTATGTAATATTCATTCAGAAAATGAACAGGATATTATTATTAGTATTTAAACACATAAACATTGATATAAGGAGGCACCAAATAGATATACGCTATACAAATCTCATTTGATTTGTGTGAGAGCTGGGATACTACCCGGGTGCCTAAACCGAGTCAGGTGGTTTACTTAGGGGGCAACCCTCCCCCGAGCCTTTGACCTAAAGGTCTAGTTCACAAGGCAGTGGAGCAACGTCAGAAGATGCAGTCCCATGGAAGCCGGTGACCAACGATTGGTTCATACGACATTTGTTCCCGCAGGATACTGGAGCCAACCCATGTGCGCCATTGGTTTGGAATCAGGGTTTCCCAACTCCCCTAGATGAATCTTCCGTATCCACCAACTCGGTTAATGCACCGGATATTCGCTTTTCATCCTGTCAATTTCGTAAACAACAGTAATGCACTGAGTAAGGCTTCCCTTAAAGTGGATATATGCACGTGGTCATGTGAAAGAACTTCAAGAGGAAGAGCTAACTCTCCCTAATCTCGGCCGTACTAAAGCATTTGTGGGCAAAAATGAACAGGAAAATAATAAATATAGCGTGAATATTAAACATTGAAAAGTAGATACGTTACAAATTCACGCACAATTATTGTTACATAATGATAAGAATCAGTAAGCATACAGCTTACTTACTTACGCCAGTTACTCCTCGTGAAGGAGCATAGGCCGCTCACCAACATTTAACAGTCACCATATATCTATCTAATTCAAGGTAGATTATTATGTCTCTGTACATTAAGCTTATTATAAGATTAGATATCTCAGAAGAGAATATTCATTCATTATAATATGATCGTTTAGTGTTTTATGTGAAATCGTGAAAACAATTCATTATGCACATCTTTTGAAAGAAACACAACATAGAAGTGTTATTATGATTATTACAGTAATTCTGGTAAACCGTATAAAGAATTTGACTTGATTTAAAGAGTAATATTGTAGTGAAGGAGAACACAGGTGAGGACAACCGAATTATAACTAGCACAACATTACAGAGTTACTTGGTAAAATAGGAAAACCATACTATAATACTTAATTTACAAAATGTTCAATAATTGTGTCGAACTTCATTGTTCTTGCGTTTCCATACTGATTGCTTTCTATTCCCGCTTTACCTTTCTTGATCTTCCTCATCTTCTACTGTCAGACATTACATTCCTAACTCGCGTTATATACTACTTATATTAATATAAGTAGTATGCACCACAATATGTTGTAGGCACATTTTAGTAAAACAAATAGTAGAACTTTGATCTTAGATTTAAAATATTCTGTTTTAGATCTTATCACTCTGTAATCAAACTGTTGAACTATTGTAAAACATCAAAAATAATAAACCTTCCAGCTAATATATCTCTAATGAATGATTGTTATAAACATTCATAACTACTGTACTATATCCTAATATGCAATCTTTCTTTTATATATTACCACCTCTGAATTAACTAGTTTTATGAATCCGTTGTCCATCTTGTTGTGTTAATGAGGTATGGCAACTTCGACCGATGCATATATGTGCCTGGTCCTACGTTGTAGCTGACTGACTCATAACTAATGTAACAATATGATAGATATGAATGTAAATAATGTTAATAGTTTTATACAAATTATGTTATTTATTTTGATGAAGTTTTGTTCTCCAAACTGAATGGTTTGGTTATAAGAACTTTCATCGTTCTTCTAAACAAGTTTATGCTGCTGATGATGATATCATTCAAAAGAACGATTAAAACTATACGATCGTACCATTCATCTTAGAGAACAAAAACTTCATCAAAATCATCCATCTGGGCAACAACTCTTCTTCACCATTTCAATATGATCATGTAGTGACTCACTTTTGTCACGAGAACACGATTGATTTAATGAAAACAATTATTATTATTGTAGCCAATTGTACCAGTGACTGTTTTACTGTGCTCATTTGTTTAACTGTGCTAATGACAGACATAGTATACTACCATTACTTTTTCCGCGGATTGTGACCTCGTACATTCGTACTCTTGCCCGCTGATTCCATTTGTATTCCTTTTGGCACGATCTTGGTATTCGTTCAATACCACGAGATCGTCAACGAAATAAATCTGGTTACGTCTAATCTTCACCTTCTGATTTGTTTAGTACGCGTTTCCTTGTAGTGGTTGTTCATAATCAATCTCGACTCGACCTCATGCTACAATCATCATATTATGTTATCAATCAGTTTACTTAAATTATCATAATCTAATCAATCTTTATATATAACTTTTTTTTTAATAGTTCACCAGATACATGGAATGATTTATCAAACGAATGTACAATGTATAATTTAACATTCTATCCTAGTATTGGTCCAGGTTATCATGATCTATCTGTACGTCCATGGAATACTGCAGCTATTCAATTACGTGAATTTGGTTCAAGATATATTCAAGTATTTTATAAAGCAATGAATATTCAATTAACTGGTATAAGTATTGTATCATTTAATGAATGGCATGAAAGTACACAAATTGAATCATCTATACCATTTGAATGGAGGAATTATTTAAAGGAATCAAAAGTGTATATGAATTATTTACCATATTCACCAGAATTTTATTTACGTTTAACACGTTTAATGATAAATCAATTTGAGAATTTTACTAGTTTACCAAAAAAATTTAATGAAACCGATAACAATGAATTGCAATGGTTGTATACATTAATAAATAAAATTAAAAAAATTGCATAGTGACAAAGGTATATAGTAAACAAGACCATTGTGTTATATTATTTGACATTTGAGATGGTGGAGAAGATTTGTAGCTTAGGTTGATGATTTTAATAGAGTTTCGTTCTTCTGAACGATGAAAACTCCACGACTAAACCATCCAGGTCAGAGAACAAAACTCCACCAAAAGTATTGACATTATAAATATTTTCTTTTATACTTTGGATTACTTAAATAAGTAGTATAAACATCCACTTGTAAATGCATATATTGTTTTTGTTATGACTTTGATCTGTCTACTCTAGATTAAGACCTTGACGCAATAGGCTGACCGATTTAACCGTGAGGCTAGTACGCGTGAGTTCGAGACGGGTCAAAGAGAAGAAAACTATTTTATCACCTGATTGGCTGACAAGCATTGGTAATAAAAGAAGACAAGACAACTGGAACACTATTCGCTCTATTCCGATATACTGATTTCTTGTGGAATCTCTGAATTCAGATTAGTGCAAAAAGGTATATGAATAAGTAGGTGATTCACCCGATCACAATGTTGGAAAAATACAATTATGTCCAAAACTGCGAATTAGAGTAGAAAATAATGTGCAAAATGTTATGTTTAAATTATAATAGCTTCGGAACAAAAAGGGGTATGCCAATGAATGACACATCGAATGAAAGCTTATGCTCTGTAGAATAGAATAGGGACAAAAATAAATGTCAGTGTTTTACAAGCTTTGAATGAAATGAAATAACGTCCCAAGAAAATAGCTTTCGTAGTTTGTCAGGGTTTCTTGTTTCCCTGTCCACATGAGTTTTTTTAATTGGCTTGTTGTATACATCAGATTGTATGTTGTTAATGGTTTTTGCTTTGTCATAAGAAATCAAGTTGATATCATCTGGAAATCTAGTTCTTTCAAATTTAATGATCAATGAAAGATGTTTTATATTTCATTTGATTTGAAGGTGATTCACTTAGAATACACAGATCATATAGTTGTGTTTAGCGAAGACGCCGAATAAACATAGTCTTTTGACCACCTTGTACCTATAAAAATTGATGCTCTGGTTGTTAGAAGGAGCATCGGCCTCGTAGCTTCCGAAGGAACTCGGTTTTCACCATGAACCATCATAATTCTTCTAAATGAAGACCTAAATTATTTTTTCTGGTTAACGTTTTTTTAGCGAGTTAGTTTTCTATGGGATGGGGTCGCTAACCCCATGCCCAATTTCCTTCCTTTACCCGGGCTTGGGACCGGCGGTAACTCGAGAAGAGCTACAGGCGGAGAACAAACCAGCTTCCAGCTGAAGAAAAAATTAGGGAAAGACGATGGAAATGGATAGGACATACATTACGCAAATAGTCAAACTGCATCACGAGACAAGCCCTAACTTGGAATCCTGAAGGGAAGCGGAAAAGAGTTAGGCCAAAGAACACATTACGTCGTGAAATAGAAGCAGATATGAAAAGGATGAACAACAACTGGAAGGAGCTAGAAAGGATTGCACAGGACAGGGTTGGATGGAGAATGCTAGTGAGCGGCCTATGCTCCTTCACGAGGAGTAACAGGCGTAAGTAAGTAAGACCACGTTAAACAACAATTCAAGCATATTTGGTATTCGGTTCTCTTCCTCCAAATGTAAGATGTTACTACTTCAGGATTGGTTTGCGTCATGACCTGAATTAATGATATGAAGTGAACTAGTCGAACTCATAGACCACTTTACTGATGAGTTTAACCAGTAGTGATGCTTTGGTGTCTGACGAGATCTCGACACAGATTCAGAAGGCTAGATTGGCTTTTGCCGACTTGCGGCGTAGGCGAGACACCTATCTGCCAATCAAAGGGCGAGTTTACTGTGCATCAGTTCTCTCTGTTCTATTTCATGGGTATGAAACATCGACATTAAGAATGGAGGATTTTTGTATGTTACAAATATTCGATCATAGGTGTTTTCAAAGAATTCCTTGTGTATTTTGGAAACACGGAGTAAGCGATTGCCCATGTTAAGTGTGAGCATTAGGTAGGGATGTAAAATCGACCAGATCTAATGAGTCTTCATCAGCTGAGATGGTTGGGACGTGTGTTAGATACGCCCTACCACCGCCTACCTCGACGGGTGATATTATCTTGTTCAACAGGAGCAGGCAACTAAGCAAAAACATGGCATAAGTCCTTGAAGTCACTGGCAATCTAACTTAACCCTGTTAATAAGTATAGACCACCTGGTTGGGGTCGGCATGATTATCATAACCAATGGTTAGAGACTTTAAATGACATGGATCAAAGTCATTTATAATTGTAAAAGTGTGTCCATTCTTTATCTTCCCACAAATCCTGATATTCTAAATTCACCATAACCCTTTTTGTTCTGTTAATTTATATTCACTTTTCGAGTCGTATCTTCGATGCTTGATCTTTCCTACTACCACTGATTGTATTACTACCTCTAATATTCTGAGATTTTCCTGACAACTTCATTTCTCTGTGCTAATGTGGTACTGTTACCTGGCACAAGGTCTGCAAATTAAGAGCTCCAAGAAGTAGTTCAAGAGCGTAGTTTCGGAAGGACAAGAATAATATATTGTGAACCCAAACAGTTAGCACTGGTAGCGCGCGATGATCAAGATAAATGAGAAGGGTCAGTCGTGGCGACTGGAGAATTACTAAGTGAGGGAGTGGTATTGTGGTGTGTCCTACTTTATAAACATAAGTAGTATATGATGTTAGTCGTGAACAGAATGTCTGACAGCAGAGCGACAAGAAGATCGATCAGTAAAGAATGAAAATAGAATGCAATTTGTGTGAAAATGCAAGAACAATGAAGTCTGAGCCATTTTGAGACAATTAATGGACATTTTGCAAATTAAGCATTTACTTTATGATTCTTATATTTTACTAACAAGTTCTGTGATTTGTTGTCAAGTACACTCGACTGTCTCCATTGATGTTCGTGTTCACCACAGTTTGATTACCAACAAGATAATTCCGGGTGGTCATAGAGGCACGAGGGTGGACGCCACTTCCCGATTACACACAGTAGTTTTTTCTTGAGGGACCTAAAAATGGGGCTGAGTTAGTGGTCATCTAGACGACCTGGGAGCGTGACCGCAGAGCCCTAGAGGCAAGTCGCGCACCGCCCCTTTAGAGATAGTTAAGGACTCGTTAGTTCTGCAATTAAAAAAACCATACCGTCAGATACGAAACTCCATGAGTTAAGGTGAAGGATGATATTTTTAGGGTTGACCCATTTCTAAATCTATCCTTCCGTTGTGAGACAACAGCATCGATACAGATGCTAACTCAGAGGGAAACAACTTACAGCTATCACACCACTCAAAGGTAAGGAGTACGACTTCACTCTCTAGCCCCAAAATGTTACTTTTGATCTTAATGTCCATCAAGTGATCTGCCTGGCATGATTGGACCTAACTGAACATGTGTTTCAGTCAATATAGTTTAGTTGAGTGGTCATGATAGGCACGTCCGACCACTACGTCAAGTGAGCGCCTAACACAAGGTCGATTTTGATGTCTTTTCTAAACTGTGAAAATAGATTCGGAATGTTATAAATCTCTTTTCTTACGGTTATGACCCAGCTATTCCTATAGCTTCGTATTCTCGGACACCGATTCACTCGACAAGTCCCCAAATCAGAACACGGTTGAACAGGAAGGAGATTATATTCCAAATAACAAGGTTAGATGGAAGTGAGAAGCAAGTCCGAAGCACAATAGAGAAAACGTCAGTATATTTATAGTTTTTACATGAGAAGATTTTAGAATATTCTCCAACTATCGACTAGTGCTGATTGGATAAGAATTAGCCAATCAGCGTGCACCAAAGCAATCGTGAATTGAGCATGCTTTAATCTGGTCTATGTCCCGCTAACACCTCCCCTTTGAGCAGATTCGTAGGATCTGGTGCTAGGGTCCAACTGCAACCGAGTGACTGGCCTGTGCTTTCGATTAGTCCATCGTCTAGGCAATAGAGAAGTATCACTTTTTTCTTGCACAGAAACTGACGTGTCTATTCCCGGCGTTTTGATTTCAAAGGTGTCTAGCAGAACATCAAGAGGTAATCGATATTGAATCTTGTTGCTGGCTATCGAAGTTGCTTTCAATTGGTTAGCATGACGTACCCAAACTTCCGAGCCAACTGACACCTCGTAAACCACACTCCCCTTCTTTTTCAACATCCGACCAGCTGTCCATGTAGGATGTTTCCCACGATAGTCCATAGCAAGCACTTTTTGTCCCACCGTGAACAATCGTCTTTGTGCCCCATGATGTCGGTTAAACTGATTCTCCATCGATAGGTTTCGTTGGGGTTCAATAGCTGGCGTAGGACGGATGACATCGAAATGTGTTCGTATCTTTCTGCCAAGTAGAGCTTCTGCTGGAGAGACCCCGTTAATTGTCTGAGGGTTCGGTGTAGAGCGATAAATAAACAGGAACCTCTCTAAGATATCTTCAGTGGTCCCTTCCCCTTTGGATTTTTTTAGAGCATTTTTAAATGTACTCACAAAGCGTTCCACTTGGCCATTTGATTGGGGATGGAATGGAGGTGTTCGGAGGTGCTGGATTCCGTTCTGCCGACAAAATTGTGAGAAGATTTCGGACGTAAACTGTGTTCCGTTGTCACTAACTATCAATTCCGGGATTCCAAAACGACTGAATAGTTGACGTAGTTTACTGACTGTGCAGCTTGCAGTCGGGTGTTCCATGAGAAAAATTTCTGGCCACTTGCTATATGCATCAACCACCAAAAGGTAAGTTTGTCCATGAAGTGGACCAGCAAAGTCCAAATGTATACGCTGCCACGGTAACTGTGGTATTGGCCATGATTGCAGCTCTGCTTTTCGCGGTGCTTTTGCTGCTAATGCACATTTGGTACACGAACGGGATAGCTGCTCCAGTTGGGTGTCTAAATGCGGCCAGTATACATAACTTCGTGCTAGTGCTTTCATGCGATTTATTCCAGGATGTCCTGCATGCAACTGTTCAAGCACTGCTGGTT